GGCCACGTAGCGGAGAGGGAGAGGGCGTGATGAACGGATGAAAGGAGGATCTGTGTGCTGTTTTTGCCCCAGATGCGTAGGGTATGGAAAGTGATTGGGAGGAGGGTATACTACAGAGCGCATAGAAGGGGAAGAGGATTGGCAGTGCATGAGCACACTTTTGGGTGTTGGATTTGAGGCGCGAGGAAGGGGTTGAGATGGAGGTGAGTGGGAGGGGAGAGGGGGAGGGGACGAGGGGGCGGGGGAGGTGGTATGAGCGGGTTTCGCGCGCAGAGAGACTTCCAAGGCTGCGATATTTAAACAGTAGACCAGGTCATTTTGATTCAGTGTTCTCGTATTTTTGGTATTGATCTAATTTGTATGGTAAGGTAGTCGTGCGTGGCCGAACTGCAACACTGTTAAGCACTAACTCAAGCAGACTTAACTACCGACTCCTTCCAAATTTATGATACCCACAAACAACCTTCTATCTTTTTTTAGTGCTTACTTTCCTGATCAGATGAAAAAAATATGTAATCACAAAGTATAAAAATGTATCTCGGCGTGCGCAGTTCCAAAGGAGTGTAAAACATTAGGTTCAGTGACAAAAATTCAAGCAGTATAGAAAGTTTTAATTCAGTCGAAAAGCACTAAATCTGCCTCATTTCTTCCCTTTCCGCCACTTTCACCTCCCTCCCATCCTTTTTCTGCTAGAAGTCGTTCGCACATCATTACAGTCACAATAAGTGTTACCTGAAGTAGTTGCTCGTACACGTGAGCAAGCGAGAGGAAGGACAAGTAAGTATCATTGCGATCAAAAACGATATTGTGGGGTGGCACACACCACTGCATATACAAGCCAGTCATTGCAGCTAAGATGGCTCGATGTGATAATTGAACACCTTTCGGTGTGCCTGAAAATTCGACGCGGATGTTAACCACCGAATTTGAAACTTCATGCTTCAGGTCGCACATTTTAAGACTTTGAACATGGCAGTTTTCGAGGCTAACTAGCAGCACTTGTAGCTCGTTTCTTCTCATAAAACTGAGACCGGAATGCACCAGGCTTGACGATGCTATCATGCGTTTTTGAGGTGGGCTTGCAGCAGTTAGTTTGTTAACAGAAGGCATAGTTTTTACGTTGTGATTTAACACGGCGGCTCATTTTGGTTGTATTTTGGCTTTTTCGTACATGCAGGGGAAAAGTTTGTCGGCTGGAATGGTAGTGTTGCATCAGGAGGTTGCATGAACTTCTAACGTACGTGATTTTCAATTTTGTATGAAGTCTACTCATTCTCCCGGTGGCGGTGATTCACTGAGACATATTTTGAGGAAAAGCGCCTAGAATGGGGTCAGAAAACAAAGGAAACGAAAGAGATACATAAAGTCCAAAAATTTATGTTTTGCAGTACCGTAACTTCCTTTGTAATAACGGTGCCGCCGTCAATCAGCGGCACCAACATCAATCATGTATGCAGCTCTCTTTGTAAGCTGGGCCCAACTGGAGCGAGGCGGAACTCCAGATGGGCTCAGTAGCCGATTTTTCCGGCAAATTTTTAGTGTCA